CAGACCTCTCAGGCCTATCACAGCTGTGTTCACATTTAAAAACCTTGGTACTGTGTGTGTGTGTGTGTGTGTGTGTGTGTGTGTGTTGGGTTTATTAATGTGTTTTCAGTGTTTGTCTACATCTTTTTTCTGTTTGTTGTTATTGCACTTTCTCTGATATTATTCATCATATTTTCATACACGCACACACGGCTTGTTTCTGTTTGCATTTCCGTGTAAAGCGCATTGAATTTACGTCATAAAATGTGTTCTGTAAATACAATTATGTTGCCTTGCTTTGCCTAAATGCCACCAATGCCTCCTGTGATGAATCCAAAATGAACTTATAAATATGCATGATCACTTTTGTATCAAACAGCCACACAGCGCTGAGAAAGTGAAGTCAGTGTCTGCCCAAAATGACTGAATGGCTTTGTTGTTTGCGCTGCTGCGAGACGTCTTAATATAAATCACAAAAATCCTGATGCAACGGCTGTGACAACACTGAACGCTGTGCCTGCTGTGTAAAGTCTGATAAAAAATGGACTCAAATATTTGAGCTGCGTGGCATTTATGTGTGCTGGCATCACTTGTGGTTGCTTGGATTCGCTCTGATGAGGGAAATGAAAAATGGTAGCTTCTTGCAATAAAACACCGCAGTAGATAATATGATGATTATTTTTTTGATTAACTATGTAATTTTGACCACAAAAAATGCCCTCACCAGCCATTGCTGGTGGAATAAATGTCACATTCCTGTTAGAATACGGAGGCGTAGTGGATAAAAAGGTCATCTTGAAATGAAGATCTAATATGGCTTGCCACTAATCCACAGATTTATTGCTCCAGGATGAGATTTTTTCTCATTTCCTGTTGTTGCACACCTGATAAAATTTAGGGCTACACAATTTTACAGCTGGAACAAACAGCATAGGTGGGCTTTGAAAACTGAGAAAAACTTCACATTTAGTATGCTTGGCACAGCATCCCAAATGCATCTAAAAGGCACAAAGGTTCATACCTGCTCTGAAATGCTGCACTCAAAGGCGGGCAGAGAAACCTGTCATCATAGAGAGTGATGAGACGCACACACACCTTCAGACAGCTGGTCTTTGAAGGCATTCAGGGTGTCACACTTATTGGGACACATGAAAAATGATGAAAGCCGTTGTGTGAAGAATAAAACAACTGAGCTCAAGAGGAAAGTTGAAATCCTATTTTTGCACCTCTGCACACCGGACCAATCGCTGCATCAAACGGAGGAGCTTGTCAGTTTGTCAATTTGGGAAAGCGTCTCGGTCACAGGTTGTCACCTCGGCTGCCAGTCAGAACACAAATGTTCATGTTCATTATTGATGAGACGTAAGAGATGGTAACCCTCATCCCTGCAATATTTTTGTTCATTTTATGTCTGAGCCTGTTTGTTCGTCTAAATTAGCCTTTCTCAACAGGGGCAGTATCGACCCCCCAGGGGGCGTTCAGAGAACATCAGGGCGCTGAGCTGTTCTTGGCGGACTGCTTTTCAATGCCACTTTACTGCCACATGCACATTTTCATAATTTCATCATTAAACTTGCTCTTACCACCATCATCTGAAGCTTTTATTTGGCTTTCCCTGCTGAAGACGACAATGCCTTTTTTCTGAATTGCTTACACACAGCTTTTCACAGTTTACTATGGAATGCTCCAGTTGCATGCTCCTTTGTCCTTTCCTTTTGTTGAGCTGACCAATTTTTCATTTAAGCCAGAATCCTTTTTTTTTATTAAAAGATCATTTTTGGGGCTTTTTGCCTTTGATTAATGGGACGGTGTTGTGTGTGGCATGGCCGCTGTGGCAGGGACATTGCCTTTGGATATGGGATGCCTGCTCTACCCACAGTGCTACTGGGTGCCCAATCCTTTTCTTTTTGGTGTTAACCAAGAGTGTCAGCTTATGTTGTGGCCTTTTAGCTGATATAGCCAATGTTGCACCCAGTTTAGTCTTGGCAAGATGCTGGAAACATTAATCGGTCCAAATTTGTAGAAAAGCATATATATACTGTTATAAGGTGCTTTGTGATTGTATATGTTTTTCTGTGTTCACTGTGTTCCACCCTTTTTTGTATTTTGGATACAATATTGCACGACAAGTATGGCTCTCATTTGTTTGCCCCACAGTTCTCCACTTAATACTTAAAAAGTATTAAGTGGAGGTGGGGCTTCTTCCATCAGAGTTGAGCACAGGTGTGTTGCATACTGCCAATGATTAGACTGAGATTGGTTACTTTTACCTGTCTGTCCATTGTTGATTCATGTATGCCCTGATGAAGGTCTAATAGGCCGAACGCTCAAGTATAAAGTGAGACACTGCACAGATGTAAGTGTGTGGAAATCTTTTCTACCAGAAGCTGGTATAGCTGAAAGGCTTAGCAGGAATTAAGTGCCCTTGACCTTATTTACAAAAATAGTCAAACTTAGCCCCAACAACTCTGACGTTGAAAGTGTGTGTGTGTGTGTGTGTGTGTGTGTGTGTGTGTGCGTGCACGTGTATATGTGAGACATGCATTCATTTGATCTTGAGGTGTAAACAACTAACAGCATCACATCACATAACACATTACAATTACAACATGATACCACATCACACTAAAAAGAACAGGGAGACAAACCACTGTTAGTACACACCAAGTGTCACATCATGACACGACACAGTCACTAACCCACACACAACAAAGAGTTTTTTCCCATCTTTTAGTCACAACCAAGAAAACGTGTCACCGTCGACTCATTTACTCAACACCAACACATGACCGCGGCCACATTCAGGCCACTGTCCTCACAAACGCAGATCAATCCACAAAGTCCATTTACATGTGGAAACAGCTAAGGTTTTCTGATTGTTTTTTCGTCCCAAGTCCTTGAGGAAAACACTTAAATCTCTCTTGAGCGGGACACTTGAGCCAACCAGCAGCTTTCCACCATGACAGGAAAAATATACTGTGGAAGAAGCTTTAGGCCGCAGCTGCCAAATGGCTTTCTACCATTACAGAGGCGCTGTTTGTTGTTATCAGAGCAGGCAGATCAGAGTGCTGGTGAGTTAAGATCTTCAAGAAATCACATCACAGGATAAACATTAAAAATCTGCTCCGAAGCAAGCTGGCCTTCTTTTGTTTGGAGTGATGATGAAGTGGAACTCCCCTTTGAAGGTAATAAACACCTACAAGTTTGCCAAAGCTGATGAGAATGTGGACTGGATGGGATGCCAAAATAAATTGGCAAAGTCATTTTTTGACTTAAAACTCCTGGCAGCACTGAAGCGGCTGACACAGATGGTGGAGTCTCTTGATCAACGAAGATATTCATAAATGAATATTGATCACAGCAGCCCCGACTTGGCTCCATATCTTATTTCTCTTTAAAAACAAATATTCATGACTAAATGTGCAGCAATCATAGTTGCTGTTTGAAAAAACAGACAAACAAAAACAGAAAAAAAAAACAAAATCAATTATTCATGATATAAATTATGTTTAGCCCACAGCTTTGACTTGTCATCACCTTTTCAGTCGATCTAGTGACCTTCAGCAAACAGTTGCTTAATTGCACGTTCAGCAGCTACGGAGCAACTTTACCATTAATTCGTATTCATGTTTACGTCTGCCTTGCAAATTTAAGTTCAATATTGACACTCTTTTAGCTCTGTTTTAGTCTCCACCACCTCTTGAGGGAAATGTTCGACTCTTCAGCTGCTAAATGTCTCACTGCGTTCTTCAGCTAGTCTCTTAACTGTGTCAGTCTGCTGTTTGGTGATGAGCACGCCATCAGCAGTGGGGTTTTTGGAGCTTTTTCGCCGAAAACGACACTATGATAGTGCTTAGGGTGAACCAAAACAGTAACATTGCGGGCTTGAAGGCTAAACAATGAGCTAAAACTTTAGAAAGTTCAGTAAAGGTAGCAGCTGAGGGAAGCTGCAGCTGATAATTCTCTAGTTCTTCACTACATGTGATGTGACCCTTTTCATGTTGTTTTCATATTGTCATTTCATACATTGTTGTTATAATAATGCTGATTATAGCTACTTTAAAGACCCAGTGAAAACATTTAATCCTGTGTCCCTGGTTAAATGAATCATTTATCTCATTATATGTCAAATATATGTAAACAAATCAGTAGCAGAGTATTTTACATCAAAATCCCTGTAACAGTCTCAGATGGTTGATGCCTCATGCTACACTCAGGGTCGTTTATACAATTTTATCCAATCAAATCAGACTTTGATTGGGCGACTAAGTAGCAACACTGGTCAAATAACACTTCACCGCTTGTGGGTTGTACTAGCCGCTATCCAAAACAGCACTGTGGAGAGAGGTAGGAAGAGATGTGTGTTTGGATATCAGTGGGCAAAACCTTTTTTTTCAATTACAAAACAATGTGGCGGACATTTAAGTCATTCATCTCGCCCTTGTCTTCCTCCTGATCTACAACGAGGGAGGTGTGTGTGGAGCCAACAGTCCGCTCTGCTGTGGCTTTGTATCACACTGAACCCTAAGTCTGCCCCCTTTTAGCGGTTCAGTCAAATGCAAAGGATTTGATATAAATTCATCCTGTAACTGTGCACCACTAAAATATTCAGTTTCACTAGAAAATACATCACAGTACAGAAGCTGAAGATGCTTAAACCTCCGTTTCACTGTCTCATCTCATCTCGTGAGTCAGACACTGCATCCCTATGTGCTTGAGAAATTTGGTAATACGATCTTCCGCTCAGGCTGTGTGACAGCATGATGTCCTCCGGAAGCAGGTGCAGTGTGAGAGTTCTGCACAGTTCTCTGACTATTCTGGATACAACTTGCTGTGATCATCTGAGATCACTTCAAATCCTGACTCCAGCCTTGTTATGCTCAACAAGTTTGTTGTGTATATACTATGTGTTGCATTATAACATATTTGAAAAGCTCATATGGACCTTTCAATCCTGTCGCCTGTTCAACAGGAACATTCAAAAGACAGAAAACAGGGAGTGACATAATGTTATACTGTACCTTCTTCTGTACAAAGTCCATGATGTTTTTGAAGTCGAGGTCATCATAGTAGTTCACTATTCCTCTTCGGATGTTCTTGTTCAGTAACTCCACCGTCTGCAGGAGAAGGAAATACAAAAGACAAACAGTCTGTGTGTTAATGGGATAAAGGACGTCACGTGAGCGCATGTGTTTTTTTTCTATGACACAGCTAATCTACAATCAATGTGTCGGACCAGCAGCTCTGCAGAGGAAATGCTCTCATTAGTCAAGGTGACTGATCCATTGAACTGCAAAATATTAAAATGTGACAGTTGGACAGCTCACATCTGTCAGTCACAATCTGGTGCAGCGAGGTCACATCAGTTAATGCATTAATCTATCCAGAGACCAGGAATAAATATTTGCTACTTTGAACTCTTGAAACTCCACTGAGTACATTCATGTAGAGCTTTTTACGCGATGATCTACTCTTATATTCCACTAATGTCACTCCACTTCACTCTTTGTTTGGGATACACTACCTTATTTATACTTCACTGTAGATGGGGGCAACAAAGCATTCGACTGTTTACCCCATTCAGGCTGTCGATGCTCTGTCATTTCTCTTTCAACCACAGACAATAAAGACAGAATACCGCTCCCCTCATGAGAGTCACTGAGATTAAAGGGACTGAGCCTTTTATTTAATTTCCTTTCTTCAGTCCCTGAACACATCAGGTCTTCACGATGAATCTATAGGAGCAGGGCAGCCACATTTATACCACATTATAAAGGGCAAATTTATAGACTTGGAGTTAGTCTACTGAGGCGTTTCCTTTTAAGAGAGAAGGCATTGGACCATTATTAAAGAGCTCACTGTAGGCTCACAAGGCATTATCATCTTAAATGTGTTCATGGTAATTAGATGCTGGAGGGAAAAAGCAATCCATCTAAAAATCTACTAGAAAATGAAATCTTGTTTAAATGCACTGCCATATCTTTTTAATCTCAGTGTAAATAGGACAACAGTAAATTAACAATATGACATCTGTAGCTCTATATACTTAAATAAAGCTGCCGTTAACACACTGAAATGTACAAACATTATGTTGACAATTGAGATTTTCTTTTGACAAACACATATAGGCATTTAAATGCATCACACAGTGTTGCTGAATAAAGTTACTCTAAGACAGGCCATTATTATGCTTAATGTAACAGTCATGCAAATGAGATGATTGAAAGCATTAAAAAGAGGAGAAATGAGAGCCTGATAATCGAGCTTTCCCCCTCAGAGCCACATTAAGAAACTCATGAATGAGAGATTTTATCAAGAAAATTGATGTAATGAATATCTCCCTAAAAGACTGTCATAATCGTTTGGCTCTGTAATCATGGACCATTGTCCTATCACCACATTAGCACTTCCTCAACTCTCGAGGTGTCATTTTTCTTCCGTGTGAAGTCTAATGACCCAACCAATTTATTCTATGACTGTAATAACCGTGAATCGAACACCTTTTAGTTCCTAAACTGTTGACTTTGTATACATAAAAGCTTGTCATCTGTCACAAATAGCATGAGGCACTTTAATGCCTCATGCATCGTTGGTTGTAACATGATCATCATGCAAATGAGATGGAGATAAAAAACATTTAAAAAAAGACATATTGCAAAATTCGTCTCTGTTTTTTTTTTTAATGTTCGCTACTTCTACTAATGACTTCCATAAAGTCGCACTGATGCAAAAACAAAACAAGAAAAAGTTCACAGTAAGTTCAACAATGTTCTAACTCCAACCTACAGCAGACATTTATCTGATGAAAAGTTTAGCTTTAGTCATGAAGAGTACTTTGGCTCCTCTGCTAGTTTGGATGCAAATTTATAGACGTTTACTGCAGCTGTGTTTGTTCGAGAATCATGAGAGGAAACAAGTACCTGATTCACTCCTACAGAGAATCTACTAAAGTCACATACTGTAATAGCTGGGACTGAAATGATGATTTCAGAAATCTAGTCACAAAATTAAATAATAATAAAAAAGGACTTGACAGTAAGTTGAAGTCTATAAAACAACTGTTTGCTTTGCATTAAAAGTTAAATTACTTTGGGGAAAAGTATTTTATGAAATTTTCATGACTTGCCTGATATATCCCCAACATGCTGAATTTCTGGCCATGGAACAAGGGGGTTCTCCACCAGGCTCAGAGTCGGCACAGTTAAATGTGTTTACTTTGATGACCTGTTGTACGTTAACTCAAACTGCAAAATGCTTCTGTCGCCTGTAGCTGTTCATCTAAATAATGGCTTCCTTTTTATTCTTTCATTCCTTCTAAAATCTAAAACCAATCCTCTACCAAAAGAAGCACAGAGAAATGTCCATGTTTTGATCTCTTTGATGACGGATGAATTAACACTGTCACCAGCCTTCTTTGGTTTCCACTGTTTCCAATTAAGATGCTGGATAGGTGCATTCAAAAGCGAGAGCAACACAAAAGCATTTTCAAGGCCCTTTTTTCAGGGCTTGACAACTGCACCCTGAGATGAACAAAGTGTAACTTTTGAAATGCAGCAACGTGCACCCCATGTTATGTGACACGGAACAACCAATCACGGCCGGTAGATAGCTTGCCTTTCTTCCTTAAAGAAGTATTTCTCTGCTGGAAACATGGTCTTTAAAAAAAAACGAAAAAAAAAAACCCCACAAATACTTAAAATTGGTGCAACATGACCAGAGAAAGCAGAGGAAAAGGGCTTCAGCATTTGCTTTTGCTCAAGAGGTAAAAAACCTACAACTACCAGAATACACTGGATCATACTGGACCAATGGGTCCAGGTGGGTGATGTAACGCAAACTTGTCCGCTTGACACAATAGGGCCCGGCTGGTAACAAATGATCTCATAATACAGATTAACAGTAAGCTAAAACATGATTCTGAATCATTTTATGGTAGAAATATGCAACACAGTAACATAATCTTGGTTTAGATTTGATCAGTACTGCTTAGTTTTACTGTTTCATCTCAGGTTTTTCAACCACCATTTTCACTATGCAGGAAACAGTATGGTGCCCACTTGCTGTTCATAAACTCTCACTATTGCAGCTAAACAGTGCACTAAAATATGTTGAATGTGAAAACATTTTAAGCAGTGCAGCAATATAATCTTGGTTTATATTCGATCAGAATGAATGAATTTGAGAGACAGACAGAAAGAGAGGGGCATGTCTGTCTCCTGATCCATTTCTATACACTTTGTGTCTGTGGTGGTGGCATGGGTGGAGCTGTGGTGGGCAATATGAAAATGTTGAAAGTGTGCAGTGCAGTGTCTGCAGATGAAAATCACCTCTGCACTTGGGATGTCTGGTAAGTTGGTTACAATACATTGATGGTTATGGTCGCTTAGCAACCTCAGACAAAACCTGGTTCCATGTCCTTGAAATCTGGCACCACGTAGGCACAAGAGTAGCACCCAGTGCCTACCTTTCACTGGTGGTTAGAGACGCAGCATGTGGTCTAGCTCTTACAGTAGCTGAGCACATTGTTCCCTGGCAGGTGGTCTAGATGCCTGAACTGGTTACAACATTCAATGTGTCAGTAATTTCCAGGAATACAAACATCAAATCAACTGGTGACCTCCAGACCTAACATGTCAGGTAATTATTAATGTCACTTTATAGTCTTTCTTTCCTGTCTTTTCCCCCTACAAAGCATTTGTGATGATCACGACCCGTTTTGAAGGAATCTGCTTGTCTAGTCACCACTGCAAAAAACAACCGGTCATGCTGTGTTAGTATGCGCACAAACTTTATTGGATTTTGTTCCAGGGAGGGAATGAGATCAAAAACTGAAGACAGCGATAGTAAGCACAACATGGAAGAAATGAAGAAAAGATATGAGAGGAATACGAGAGGGATATTAGAAGCGAGAAAGACGGAGACAAGAAAGCAACTGAAACACAAAGACAGGTCAGGGGAGCAGAATGTTTCATCAGCATACTGATCCTATCTCCTCTCAGAACAGATCAGTTGTGATTAGACTGTTCCTGTGCATTTCCTGACTAAAAATGTGAGAAAATAAAATAAGTGCCCTTTTTAAAGGCCCAGTGTGTAGGATTTAGATGGATATATTGGCAGAGATTAAATATAGTATGATAAACATTTTTTTTCAATGTGTAATCACCTGAAAATAAGAATTTTTGTGTTTTCATGATCTTGGAATGAGTCATCTATATCTACATAGGGAGCGGGTCCTCATCTAAGAAGATGGTCATATTGCACTGCCATGTTTCTACAGTAGCCCAGAATGGACAAACAAAACACTGGTTCTCGATATGGCCATTCATGTTTTATTGTTTTCTCATTTTTTCCGTCTGCACAGTAGTTAGCCCCTCAACGACAGGAGCTTCGAAAAAGCACAGATTTTTTAATGTGAAACTGCTTTGTTCAGTGTTTTTACCAGTTTAAATCATCGGGTTGTTTGCTTTGAAGAGAAAGAGACCTCTGCGGATAATTGCCTCTGAGTGAAACCTCCTGAACATCTGGATTTTAAGTTATCAGAGAAAAAAGCTGAGCACACATTAGCATGTGCTAGGCTAGCAGCCTGTCTTCAACATGTCTAACAGTGAAGGAGAAACACTGTTTGTAACTAACCTGTGCCATTCCATGCTTTTACTGGTTTAAATCACCGGGTCTGTTTGTTTTAGAGAGGAAGAGACCTCTGCAGATAATTTGGCTCTTGATAAAAACCTCCTGAAAGTCTGAATTTGAAAATACAGTATCTCACATAAGTGAGTACACCCCTCCCATTTTTGCAAATATTTCATTATATCTTTTCATGGGACAACACTATAGAAGTGACACTTTGATATAACTTAAAGTAGTCAGTGTACAGCTTGTATAGTAGTATAGATTTACCTTCCTCTGAAAATGACTCAAAACACAGCCATCAACATCTAAACAGCTGGCAACATAAGTGAGTACACCCCACAGTGAACATGTCCAAATTGTGCCTAAAGTGTCAATATTTTGTGTGCCAACCATTATTATCTAGCACTGCCTTAACGCTTTTGGGCATGGAATTCACCAGAGCTCACAGGTTGCTTCAGGAATCCTCTCCCACTCCTCCATGATGACATCATGGAGCAGATGGATGTGAAGACACCTTGCGCTCCTCCACCTTCAGCTTGAGGATGGCCCACAGGTGCACAGGTGAGTTTAGGGCTGAATACATACTTGGCCAGTCCCTCACCTTCACCTTCAGCTTCCTCAGCAAGGCAGTTGTCATCTTCTAGGTGTGTTTTGGGTCATTATCATGTTGGAAAACTGCATTGTGGCTCAGTTTCTGAAGAGGGGCGATCATGCTCTGCTTGGAATTCATGTTTCCCTAAATGAACCGAGCTCCCCAGAGCCGTCAGCACTCATGCAGCCCCAAACCATGATGCTGCCACCACTATACTTGACTGTAGGCAAGGGACAGTTGTCTGTAGTAGAAACACTTATTTCTTACTTGAAATGGCTTCATTCAGTGTTCTTACTGGTTTAAATTACCAGGTCCATTTGTTTTGGAGAGGAGGACACCGCTGAGGCTAATATGGCTCCTGAACACTGAAGGAAATCTAACCAGGAGAATTTTCAGCTGGTTTCAATCTGCAGTCCTCACTGCTAGATGCCACTAAATCCCCCTAAATCTTACACACTGTTCCTTTAAGTGTGATGTAATGTACAGTAGTTGGTCATGGTTCATTTATTCATTCATACTACATTGTGTATGTAGAAGGGACATGCAATGTTGGATAAATGTCAGCCTGCTGTGTGTTTCTAAATGTCAGGTTATAAATCAACACCTCAGACAGCTCACCTGGTTGCGGAACACCAGCGCTAATATTCCCCCCAGCAGCTCCAGGATCAGACACACAGCCAGGGTGTACATGAACTGTGACAACAAAGAGGAATTCTTCTCATTACACACTTAGACATTATACAGTTCAAATTTTAACATTCATCTTTTTTATAATGTTTTTTTGTCTTGTTGAAGTTATCAGTGAACTTCGATACCATGAAATTAGGGTTGTCACGGCCTTAAAGCTGTATCTCTTAATAGTTTGGATGCGTATCATGTTTTCACTTAGAGGCACAGTTAGGGTGTGCATAATGTTCTTCCATTGATGGCTTTTCTCAACGAAACAGCAACTGGTCTTAAACTCAGGCATCAGTGTTCTTTTCTAAATATATTGTGTATATATAGGACGACTTGTGTCTCAGGCATATCACATTTTCTAACATTCCTCATCCAGGGATGCGCTTCATTTTAAGGTCATAAAAGGCTGCTTGTTTTTCTGGATCAAGCTTTAACTGTAGTCTCTAAGTTCTGCATTTGCAGTACTGTCTGTCTTCATTTCTTCTGGGCTGTCTCTACATGCCAAGCGCCTGGGACGCTACAGTATGGCCACCTACATAATCTGCAACAACATCTGAAACATCTCATGCCCAGTCAAGTGACTTTCTCACCCTCTGTCTTCAACAACTAATATACTGTTTTATGATAACTGTGTTGCCATGAAACAGCTTCTCATTTTCTCTCTAGTACTGCTATTATCCAGCTAGACAACAGGAAATTAACCCATTTAGCATATCTGTGTTTGCAACAGTGAAATGGTCTGTATAGGATCAGTTCTTCATCTTCATGTTATCAGCCTTTTCCCACCTAACAATACTTTCACACCTTGCTTTATAGTGAAGCAGTGTCTGAAGAACCACTACTGCCAATTCATTCTGCAGAGTTTAAGATGAAAACTGCTACACCTTTATCTTTTTCACAGGTTTTCTAGTGTTTAAAATGAATTTATCCGTAAAAATAGAGGTTAATATTCAAACACTGCTTCATAACCACTGCTGCTTTGTAAATAAGAAAATTAACACAGTGAAAGCATGCACTTTTCTTAGAGAGTGTCACTCACAATAACAAAGAATAAATAGAGCATTTACATTCACATCCTACCCTAGAAGCCACTTTGTTGCTCAAAAAGATAAATTACTCAGCTGTCAGCACATCACTCACCACTTTCAGAAGGACTAGATTATCCCTCAGTGAGCCCAAGACTCCAATGAGTGAAACAATAAACATGATGATTCCCAGGAGGATCAGGATTATAGCCGGGGCCAGAAACACTCCCTCCAGCGTTTTGTAGCGTTGTCTCTCCACCTCAGCATAGATGCCAATGGCCAGGATGAAGCCGCCTATCAACTGGAAACACAAGGAGCAGTTAGGACGAGTTAGTCATCAGCTTGAACATGACGGGAAACAAGCAGGTGTCAGCAAAATAAAACCAAAGCTTCATGATTTCTTCATTTACATGTTGCTTACACAGCCACCACTGAGCTGGAGAAACAAGTCAGGCTATATGTAGAGGAGGTGCTGGCAGAAAAAAGTCTTGGAATCATCAGGTTTCGACACACAGTATATGATATGTGCAAACGTGATCAGACATTTGTAAACTGGGCTTTAACAGCTGGTTTATTAAATCTGAATCATTTTCAGATCCCTTACATTAGCTATTAGGTTTAGGCATTTAGAATAAAAGAGTTTTCAGTTACTTTATTTATTTAAGTAGAACTTAAAAGATTGACTAAAACTCAATGACTTATGACCTGAATTCTATGGACATGTGTTATTAATAAAAAAAAGTCAACAGTATCTCAAACTACTGTCTTTTTTTACAGTAAGAGATTCATTAGATCTACAACCCTTCAAAAACATTGACTCCTTAGCAGAAATACTAGTATACTGAATAATGTACATATAAGAAATGGTGCAAATGTTTAACTTTTTGCCTTACTGGCAATCAATTATATGACATTACCTACTAGCAGTTAGAGCCGCAACTATTAATCGATTAGTTGTCAACTATTAAATTAATTGCAAACTAATCTGACGGTATAAGCAATTTGAAATAATTGAAAAATGTCATACTTTGATTCCAACCTCTTAAATCTGGCTATTTTGTGGTTTCTTTAATCCAAAGGTTTTCAAACTTTTTCTGTCATGACCCCAATTAAGAAGCCTAAAAAAGTTTATAACACCCCGCTCACCCACATTTTTAAAAATCAATCATCGACAATAATTGCGGGAGAAACTAAGGAAAAAGTATCAATGTTACATTTGATGAAATAAAAGTCAGCATGATAACATCAGCAAACTCGTTTATTTTACTGACATAAATCATATTAATTCAGCTTTATCACTCCATATTTTTTCCCTGGTCATCCATCATCCATCTGCAGTCGCTTGATGCCTCCCCTCAAGTTGAGAACCACTGCTTTAATCAGTAACGTGACCGTACACAAAATATTTCTAAGGTTGTGGACACTATGATGACATCATCTTTGGCTTTGGGAAACATTGTAATTTTCACCATTTTATATTTTAATGGTAAATGTTAGATGGACTGCACTTTTATAGCACCTTTCTAGTCTTCCGACCACTCACAGCACTTTTACACAACGTCACATTCACCCATTCACACACTGGTGGCTGAGGTTACCATACATGGTGCCACCTGCTACTCAGTAACTATTCACAAGCACTCACACACCGATGGAGCAGCCATTGGGAGCTATTTTGGGTTCAGAAGGATACTTCCACATGCGGAATTGAGGAGCCGGGGATTGAACCCACTCTACCTCTGAGCCACAGCTGCCTCTATTTTATACACCAAACCACTAATTGATTAGACTCACAAGTCAGTCTTTAGACGCTTTGCTTAACTAAACTAGCTATCAGAAGGTGGAGATCTTTGATTGTCTGGTGCCGAGACTACTAACTGATAAATCGAGAAAATAACTGACAATGAAATGTTAGTTGCAGCACTACTGGCAGTAAGGATTGCCACCCGTCCTGTATAGTACTTAAATGTCAATGAGAAGCTGCAGCTCTAGTCAGAACATAGAAAGAAAGAAGCTGTTCAAAAACAGATCGGAATAGCAGCCGGACCATGATAAGGTCAGGCCAGTCAGTGGGAATGAGTACAATGAGAGTATTTTCTGTCGTTCCATCCTTGAGCAACATTCAGCTGGGGACTACCATGTCTGAGCAGCGCAGGGGCAGAAGATGGTGACTGGAATCGCTCGATTCATGATACCCCAGATTACGACACAGGCGGTGTTAAGTTGCTGTAAGTGCGTACTGTTATTATTAGATTTTACTGTGTTGAGTCATCATGTGACAGTTACATACAGAGACACAAGCTGACAGTCCTCTGAGGATGTAAGAAGAAGACCCGCCATCTCCGCACGTGTGAGTGTGCCTATGGTGTGAGAGGAATATAACCAGTAACCCACTTTATGTAAACTGATCTTCCAAAGACAAGGCTACTGCATCCTTACTGAAGGGTTTTGGACTAGAAATCTAAAAATTTGATTTTTTTAATGATGCCAACAAAAGGTAATATACTGTAAGATAACACTAACTAATTGGACATTGGTAGAAATTAATCTTCCAAAGGTTACCCATCCTGTATGGGAGGGTTTGGACGGAGGGTTAAAATTAGATTTATTTTATAATAATATTTTATAACAGAAGATGATACTATGGTGTAAGATAATACTAACCAGTTGGACACTGGTGGAAAGTAATCTTCCAAAGGCAAGATTACCCCATCCTTAATGAGAGGTCTTTGACTGAAGATGAATCTTTATTTCAGTGGTTACGTCCAGGAGAGTTGTTCTGACCAGTTTGACAGTTTAAATGATAGGAATTTATTTTATAGCATTATAAAATCATACTGTTTATTGTGTTTGTCTGTCCATCACTTGGATTCACAGGAAAATATCTCAACAATTATGTGAAGGAACTATTAGATATTAGACTATTAGATGCCAAGAATTTCAATAGACATTCAAAATACATGCTAAACTAACAATATTCCCAGCAGCATCAGCTGTACTTTAAGTTTTGTGCTAATTAGTAGTTGCTAAGATAACAAACATGTAAACATTACACCTGCACATGCTTAGCATCAGCATGTTAGCATTTTTAGTGTGGGCATGTTAGCATTGTCATTTAGTTCAAAGAGATGCTAAGTACCGCTAAATCTGCCCTGCAGTAGGGTGCCGGTTGGCCTGTCAACTATTTTCTAATTCACCATGAAAATAAACAGATTCATGCTGTGACTTTTTTTTTGGCAATTTGGTGCCAGATTGCACAAAAAAATCCCAAAATCCCACACTGACAGTGGTTCAGGTTAATATTTATACATATTAATCTTTGTTTATTTACTGGCCCTTGGCCTCCTGTCATTTTGCAAATGTGGCCCCCAGAAAGCAAGCTGAAAATCCCTCTGTAGACTTTTAGTTTTGTTTGATCGTCAGTGGATCTGTAAACTCCCTACGCATTATCGGCCTGTCTGAATGGACCTCTAGAGCCTTGAGAGTATGAAACTCCGCTACTGACATCATACATCTTAATTAGAGTCTAAATATAATCTGCATTTTCTCCAGACTGGAGTGGGCTGCAGATAATTCAGTGTTGTCATCTTAAATTACAGCTTTCTTAAATTAGGTTCTCTAAAGCACTTTAGTTTGGGATACAGTGAATCTACTGCGAACAATGGGTGCTGTTTGTCTGAGTAGACACACACACACACACACACACACACACACACACACACACACACACACAAACACAAGAGTGTAGGTTTTGTTTCAACACTGAGGGACACACGAATGTTTGGGGGTCAGAAAATGCCAGAAAATTTTGAGCATCAAAGACTTCATGTCCTGCACTCAGCTGAATTTTTATGCACCAATTTGTGACTTTTCTGCATCAATTTCTGGTGTAAATGTGTAACTTTGTCCTCTGCTACTTCTGAATTCAAATGGCATCACCATTTTTTTCCAACAAAACTAGAAAGAACGACTAAGAAGTTTTAAGAAAAGGTCAACAAACCTCCATTTAAAGAATGCAATTATAATTCGGACACAATTAAGTTTAATGTTCTGAAAACTGAGATCTTTGACAATTAAAATATACAGTAAGATCATCCCTATAATGATGGTGGCATGGCTTTTCTGGTGTTCAAATACCAGTGCACACTGATCAGCTGCCTTATTTGGCTTTGTGCTTCAGGTTTAAAAGCAGTCTCAACACGTACTCTATATCTGCTAATGGATCTTAATTGCAGGCTTTCTCAAATATATGCAAACAGGTCAGCCACAAGTGACTGAACAGTAAAGGTGGAGTTAGCGACTCTAATCCAAAACACTTAAATCCAGTTCAGCAAAGATCTCCTCATGGTCCACTAGCTGTCTGCTCTGTGTGTGTGTGTGCTGAAAATAAATCTGGCGTTCATACACAGCTCTGGCACTGAGCCTCAAAACACTATTTCAACCAATCAGCAACAGGGGGCGTTCATTCTTGTGCACAGGAAAGGGGAAAGGCTATGGATGTACAAAGACAAAAAGAAGTGGGAGCAGAGAGGTAAGGTAGATCCGGCACATGACTTATTTCTTCCAGTGTTGAGTTTAAATATCAACAATCTTTCTCCAGAAACACAGACTCCACCTTTAAAGTCTCATTTGATAAGAGTGTTGGTTTGTTGTAAAAGCCTCAGCTGTGTGGTGCTACTAAAAACGTGAGGAAAACCCTTTAAACTGCTATGGAGCAGCCACATACCTCTGCTCTCTACTGAAGGCTTCATCACATCAAGGCTCATTTGCATAGAAATTAAATTAATAATTAAATTCTTCCTCAAAAGGCCGGTTTGATTAGATTATAATAAACCCTTTAATTTACAGACCACCGTCTGGCAAATGTTATAATTGTTTCACACTGAACTTGTTAACACTGACGAGAGTGTAGACGGACCTGAGCTCACTGCACAGAGCCAGATAAACAACTGTCTGAGACAGCCGCTTGATTCTTCCTTCAAAAATAATTTGTAAACTATCTACTTCAGTGTTTCGTGCCACACTTGCCTCGTCTTCAGCGCCACATTAACATACATCAAAGCTGCATCTGTATTAAATTAGCATCTGGAAGCAGCTAATTATATAATCAGACACAGCGACTGCCGCTGCCCACGAGGGACATAATGAGAGTGACCAAAAGCTTAAAGGGTCAGTTCACCCACATTACAAAAAAAAATAAAACTTATTCTTCCACTCAGCCCTGATATTAACCATGCAGAGAGTTTGTCTGAAGTATCTGTGTATGATATTTCTGCTGCCAACCTTAAACAATAACAGTGT